GATTTGATGAAAATATGATTTATATATATATTTTTTCAATTTTTGATTTTATAACTACCATCCGAAACTTCCAAACTATCGATACTATTGATAATAAAAATTGCGAATGTGTATGAGACGTGAACTGTAATCTATTCTGTATTCTAATTTGGTATGTATGCAATCTAATTGAACGCCGTTATGATGTATTATTGATTACATCGCAAGTGAATAGATAAAATTTGTGTATTTCGTTAAAAGTCTGATCGAATGCAGATCAATCATGCCGCTTTGACGTCAGATGTGCCCTAAATCTTGTGCAAAGAATTCGACCTCTTCACAAGTCTCGTTTAGCTCTTTGTTGGCGAACCGTGTTTTGAATATAAAATATGGGGCAATATGAATCATCTCAATATCAAAGTTATTACAATTCGATGACCATCTGCGAACGTCCAGAGTTTTATGGAACACCGATGGCCTGTTGAATTGTAATAAGTAATGAGAACACTCCACAAAACTTGTAGATCTAATATATGAAATTCCAAAATTATCAGTGGAGTATTTTATCACAGGAAAATTTAAATGACTTTTCCTTTTAAAGGTGTTTATTAATTGAAAATAGCTAACAAAAAGAAATTTCGATCATCAAGCTTCGTGACCATTATTAATCTCATAATGCAAAATGAAAAGTCCTTTAAGGATTAGAGTATCATCGCGGGCCATCTTTAATTGTCAACCACAAGCAATCCTCAATTTGTATTACGTGTAACAATCAAAACGCCGAATGACTTCAAATCAGTCAAAAGTGACCTCGATATTTTAGCGATTTAGCGTTCTCTCCTTCTAAACCTATCTGACTCTCTAAATATTGAAAACCAGCATCTTCTTTTAGTTTATTGTCTCCTACTTTTAACTTACGTAATGTTTATTATCTTATTCTGAAAACAGTGATGTTTTTTTCTTCCAATATGTATTAAGAAACGCGGTTAATATATCACCACAATCTCCTGCCCAAACGATCGTATTTGTGTAGTGGTCCGATTTGATGAAATTGGTAAAACTCAATTGGTGTTGTTTCTCATTTTCGCGGTCGCTCTATGTATATAGATGCCGACGCGACGCGACGATCGCGGCGAGATCGCCGATATGTTTACGGCGACCTACAGTGACAGACTAATATTGATTGATGGGGAAAATGTTATGACAACCCTTTCACGAAATGTTTTAACCGAGTTCCGACCTGAAGCCCTTATCAATCTAAATACGTCAAACCCTACATGTTGAACCTAAACGCCACTACTACTGTGTCTATGTTCTGTATGTGTAAAGAATTAAATACCTTCTTAGTATATAAGTCCATGAAGATTAAATGTTTTATTACTGTATCGAATGCTGAACAAAGTAATCCGAAATACTGACGAAATGTAGTATTTTATTTCTTTTTTTCTTCGGTAATTCTCTAGAAAAGGACTCGTTTATCTAACGTTCGTTGGGATTGATTGAGATAGCAGCGTATTCACTGAGGATACAGCAGCTGGCGAAACGTCGTATAAATGACTCACCATAGGAGAAGAAGCAACCCTGGTATATGAATATTAAGTCCGAATATTGAACCCTCTTCAAATATTAGCGCCTTAATCCTTTTATCGAATTATAATTTATTTTCAATTTAATTGAAAGGTGTTTTCTTTCAGAAAACGAATTTTCTTAAAAAGAATTGAAATTAGGCATGAAAATAAGAGAAAAGTTCAAGTTTTTGTTTATTTCTACTTTAGTGGGTAGCTAGTTGTGATGCAACTGAATTGTCATTACGGAAACTGAAATAAATAGTAAATCTTTCCGGACTCGAAAACGAAAGTGGATGCAGAAATTGAAGTGTAATGATTTTAGGGACCTTTTAATGCAGTGGTCGTGCGCCTTTTTTGCGAACATTTATTATTAGTCTTGGGCATTTTTAGAATAAAATAAGAGAATAAAATTTAATTTTCAGAAAAATAGGAAAGTTCCCATAAGTTTCCGTTATAAAAATGTGGAACCAGATGCAGAAGTGGATGTGAAAAAGTATGCGGAGCTTCAGTAATTGCACTGTAGTACGTACCAATATTAATTTATGTTGTCGTTATATATTGCTTGCTGGCTTCCTGCAGACTTAATATGAAATTTCATTCGAAAGGACTTTCCCAAGAATCTAATAAAACATTTTACATCGCTAGAGTCGAACGTTTTTTTTTTTGTTGGGAACAATAAGAAATCTACCCACTATAAAACCGTATTAACTTCTGGTCACCCGATTTATCAATTCAATTGACGGCCATTGAGATTTGAACAAAATACGATCGTGCAACACCCGTAGACCGCACAAATTCAAAGAATAGTGCATCTTGACCACAATTTTGAATACAAACTTCTTAGATCCTCCTCCTGTTAAGAAAGGGATTGTAAATTTTGTATTGTACAACTGCTACTGCTTGTGATTGATAGAGTAACGCATTTAATAAAAAAAAAAGAACATCAAAAGCGATTTTTCTGAAGGTAAAATATAAAAAAAAAACTTTTGTATGAAACTGTTCACCGAAACTGTAATAAAACAGATTAAGTACAAACAACTATCAACCATTGTACGTACGATATTATAGATATTGTTACACCACGTCTTATGATGATGAGTATAAAAATCAATTTGTTCTCGAAAAGTTAACCAATTACTTCTATTCTCCCCACGAGATACGAAAAAGATTTAAAAACTTTTGACGAAGTTTCTTATTTCATATTATAAAAGATAACTCAGTTATAACTTCAACAGTTTCAGACGTCTTAAACGTTTACCAAAATAATGAGTTTTCAAAGCATTATCCAATTTTCAAGGCAATTTTCTAAAAAATGAACGAATTACTATTTGTTTCAATTGTTTCATTTTTGTTAAATTGTTAAAACTCGCTGAAATAATTTATCTTTTATAAGTCGATAATAAGAAACTGAAGTTACGTATTGTCAGTTTTTAATTTTCTGCATGCTTTTATATTACTTTTGTTGGTAAACGCATATTGTTTAATATGGGGGTGAAATGTTATTTATTTGTTATGTAATTTCCAAAAGACGTTTCGCCTTTTTGGTCCAAGCCTTTATCAAGGTAGATTACTAAGTTATATTTTATTACATCAGACGGAGACATTGGAAATCCCTTGTACCCTTGTACAATCACCCTAGAATTTAACATTTATTAACTACATAGATAAAAATTTATACACCAAATCACAGTCTCAGTTTATAAAATAACATAAAAATTAAANATTTTAACAATTAATGTACTATTCTAAATTTTATGTTACATCAAAAATTGAGACTTTGATTTTGTGTATGAATTTTTATCTAAGGAGTTAACAAATATTAAATTCTCAGGTGATTCTACAAGGAATTTCCGTCTGATGTAATGAGATAACTTAGTAATCTACCTTGATGAAGCCTTCCACCGAAAAGGCGAAACGCCAGTTGAAGAATACATAACATATAAATAACATTTCACCCCTTCTATTAGCTGCTTTTTAGTGAATAAATAGCAGATTGTTTAAATTATTATAGAAAGAGGCCTCAAAATACCTTTTACGGTGATGAACTTGAAACACGAATTTATAATCAAGAAAATGTATATACATACTTATAATTATTATATGATTTAGTAGACTAATTTATTTTTAATTTTTTTCCGCATTATGGTACTTTTTGAAAAACGTTTACGAGTTATTAGAGTGAGATTATCTCATTGTAGACGTAAAATTTTAACTGTCATTGCCATTGTTTAATATTATCTTATTTTAGGATAATTATTTCCCAGCGTCCAGTCTATGTACACACACTTACACCTCCAGGAAAACATCGAGCCTTATAGGATCTTTAGTTCATTTGTTTGTTGTTTACATTTCTAGTTCATTCATCGTTCGTCAACGTCAAAGGCATGCAATTAGGGTGACAAGATTAATCTGTTCATAAGCCGAAATAATTAATTAACGGCGCTTTCCAAGTCCAAAAAGATCGTCCTTTCAAAGAGTTCTCCAAACAAATCTACGTTTTATAACTACTCTACTTAGTACAGTAGCAAGGAAAATCCTCTTTGACACTTTATTGATGTTATTTTAAGAACTATAACTGAAAAGAAATACAACGCAAAAAGAATTTTTAATAATACCAGTTACTTAACGTTTCCTTGAGTGTTTCTTTAATGCGTAAAAATTTGGTCCACTTATAGTCACTGTAACTCTCTATAAAAATGAATCAGGGGATTTTCACTAATTTATTTTCAGAGAATATTCACTAATCTTAATAGTTATAATAAATTAGTGAAATTTAACTGAATTGTTAAATTGAAAATTAATTATTATTTGAATAATTGAAAACAAATAAACATAAAATTAGAACAAATAATTCATCCAAGGGTCCCGAAACAGGACTCAGGCCCGTGCGTGTTACAGGCGAGCATTCTGCAACTAATTACTGAAGAATCTGAATTTTAATGATAAAAAATAAAATTTGAAATTGTAATAATGCTTTCTTGTACCTACAAATAAGGTCACGAAGAATGCCAATGCCAAGGACCTTCGTCTCGGATTTTAACTAAGTTTTAGTGATAAGGAACAGTCAATTACATCGGTGCAGCCAACATAAGTGATGAACCAATCAGAGTGAATTATTTTGGTCAAAGCTTTTTCAGTTACAATTCAACATAAAAACGATGTCAAGATTTTTTATTAATTTTAAAAACGTATACGTCTCCTATACCTTAACTAATAACAATGACTCCCTTTCTTACCCTTTTCTATATGCTGTCACGAGTTCCGAAAAAATTCGTCGTACTGCATCTTATCTAAAAGACATCGCGATCTTTTGCACCCTTATATCACAATTCCTGTTCAGTACACATATGGCCCGTTTAAACACAGCCGTAACGCCTGTATCTTTAAGGTGACAACCGTGAAAAAATGATAACACGGCTACCTACAAATCCATTTTTAAGTAGCACTGTGAAGACATATATGGCCAGACAAATGTGCCAACTTAAGGGCGAAAGTCGCCTAAACTATACATTTCATTCAATAAATACAAAGAGGGTTAGCCCATTGTTGCACCAGCTACCCCCTCTCGAGAGGGACGTCCCCCATTTCGAAGCTTATACATCTCGTATACGATAAATTTGTTTAGTTTTGCTTTTGTCATGTCAAGTGTCCTTATACGATTACATCCTTAAGCCGATTAAGGAAAATTTAATCCTTCGATTGTCTTCACTAAACTTTATCGTTCAAAATGAATCAGGATTTGATGAAATGCGGAAGAATTTTCCGACCGTGGGATAATTCTTGCAAAACTCCATCTCAATCTTTATCAAAATCATGTGTGATAGGCAATTTTTTTGCGGAAGACTGTGCTCAAGACTGTACCATATCAACCACCACAGAAACAGATGATGCAGAAAATCTAACATCGAATGAAATTTCGGAAAGTGATCAAAAAAGTAGTGAAAAATTCAGTGCAATTGACAAAAACAGTTCTAAAGAAAGTCAAAAGATAAACCTAAAATATATCAAGTCCGTTAATTCTCCCGCGCTCTATGAAAACGTCGACACATATAAAACCCTTAGTTCTACTTCCAATTATCACCAGAAAGATTTTTATTGCACACCGACATTAGATACGCCAAAGTTACAATTAATACCATCAGATCATGTACCTTCTCTTCAAGATTATTCACTTTATCCCGAATTTATAAACAGTAATAGTGCGCTAGAGTCATCCTTTTCCGATATTTTGAACCACGGGTACAGTTTTGACGAATATGCAAGAGTTTTAAGTCAGGAGCATCAAGCGAAGTTGTTAAATTCACGAAAACAAAGACCAAAAAAGTATAAATGTCCTCACTGTGACGTTGGTTTCTCTAATAATGGACAACTTAAGGGTCACATTCGAATACACACAGGTAAGAATGCCTTCTGAAATTAAAGCTTGTTTTTGGATTTGAACAATTATCTTTGAATGAAGAACTGTTTTTAAAAGTAAGGGAAGGGTCAGAAATAATTTGAATCATCTTTATTACAAAGCAATCAAATTTAATTAAATTTCAGTTTCGCTTCTTCTGATGTGTTGTTGACGTAGAAGTTAGTAACAATAATTAAGTAATTAGGTTTATTTTTACTAATATGTAATGTAATGTAATCCGAGCAGAAGTCCATCCAAGAATATAAGCATTCTTTCACCAAAGTTTCAAAAATTCTTTAATCATAATTAAATATTTACGCATGCCTACCCCCAAAGAATAAAAATACAGTTTTATACAAGATAATTTTAGTATGTAGCATTTTAGTTTCTGTATGCCTCATATTTATGGATAACCGAAATGTGTACAAGATTTTCTTTAAATTGAATTGAAATCAGAATTGAAAATTAAGCGATTCTTAAGACCGGAAAATCTCATAAATAATTTAACAAGAAGGGAAGAATTTCTTCTGGTGTCGTTTTTAGAGTCGCACTGTAATTTCGTATTTCTGGCTGCAGAGCAGCGAATTACCAAAGAGAATTATTTATTTCAAAAATTGATAGCTTCAAGGAGGAATTATAGACAATTTGTTTATTTCTATGAGGGAAAAGGATCATAGGATTGAATTAACTTTCAAAAAATATATAAATAAGTATTTGTACGAGCCGTCACTGCTTTAGTATAATATTAGCAAAGTCCAAAGTTACATTTTGATTCCATCACCGTAAGTTTCGTGAGAGCAGCGTTTTAAGCGCCAGCTTTACGTGTTAAAGTATTAAACGCTCTCTTCAACTTTGAACTTTCCGATAATCTTCTCTCGATCTTCTCTTTCCGGAATGAGCGGTTGAATTTCTCTTGTTTTTCCAGGTGAGCGACCTTTCCGGTGCGACGAGAAGAACTGCGGAAAGACATTCACGAGAAACGAGGAGCTGACCCGACACAAACGCATTCACAGTGGCCTTCGACCTTTTGCGTGCACTCACTGCGGCAAACGTTTCGGACGGAAAGACCACCTCAAGAAACACGCGCGCACACACTTTCAACCCCGAGAGGTTTATGCCGTTCCCATTGTATTGCCGTTCGACGCTTGGACTCCTAATCCTTATAACTATGTGCCGCTTTTCGGGTATTAATGATTTTTGTACAACTCTTATTTTCGCGATTTATTAATTGATTTTATACAGAGTGATTCAAAAACAATGAGACCTAAACCAACATCAAAAGGAGGTATTACTCACCCATTATTCGACAAAGTATTCCAATAAGCCATTAGACAACCAAAAAACTGAGTGTAATCAACCTTTAGGTGGTTCACGAGGTTCATTAGGAATTATTGGAATAATAATAATAGTCATCATTGAAAATCCTTGTGTTCCATCTGTATCAATAATGAATTTAAATTTCAAAATAGTTTTTGAACCATTACAAATAGATTTAATTGTATTTTTCAGATCTGACATCACGTACTCTCTTTATGAGTCACTCTGTATATAGTAACTCATGTGCCTAAGCATTTTTACAGTCATAAAAGGATAATGGACGAAATATGTAGATATATCCTGCCATTTTCATATTCGCTATAAATTTAAAGTTATTGTTCAAAATAAGTCTTATTATTAACTCATCACGATCAGTAAAAAATTCCTTCTAGTCCTTCTTTGATACGTAGTTAGTATTTGGCATTTGGATATTTTGTATTTTCTACAAATAAATATAGTATTTAAGTAACTATATAACTAGTATTTCATTAGTATTTTAAAAATTTTGTAATATATTGTATATTTCAAATACTTCTAATTATACAAGAATTTTATTTTATAAATTGTTTGTATGATTTACATAAGAGAAAACAAACGAAATTACTTTCTACAAAACAACAAATGTTTAGTGTAAAAATATGGGACAAGAAATTTATTTATTTCAATTTATATCTCCTCATTTCTAACCTTAGCTATTATATCCATTTAACATCACAACACAAACGTTTCCACACACTTTTTTTCTGTGTTATCTGTAGATATAAAACGTTAATAAATAGGAGTGTTATATGATGTGTGTTAGTGAAAAATTTCGAGAAATTTATTCATTTTCGGGCTATTATTCTGAAGGAACGAGAGATATAGAAGCAATTTCGTGACACGGTTTTGGAAACCAAAATGAGAAAGTCCATTGAAATAATAATGGTCGCAATTCAATAACTTCCAGTTAGAAAATTCTCCACGGCTTTCTTCAATGCTGCAAGCATTCAAGCCTTTGGGTAAATAAAAATGACTTATACGATGGTAGCTAAAGAATAAACGTTTTCGGAAAGTTTTCTGACTCGATTCAATTTTCTCTTACGTAAGTTGTTATTTTCGTAGTAAGTTCAAAGATGAGTATTAAAAAGATAACAGCAACTTTAATAGCATATCTTAACATTTTTGATGCTAATATCTATAAAATAACAATATAAACAAATTGACTATTATATCAAAGCATAGCCTAAACTCCTGGGTCTAAAAACTTCAAATCTTACATAGACATATTAGGCGAACAACCCTAAACGTATCGATTAGGGCACAGTTCAAAATCGAGTGAGGAAGCTGGAAATTTTGTAGAAAGATTCCTTGTATAACGCGATCACTCACTACTTAATAGCTAAATCGTGGGCAACGGGACATCGGGATACAATTCCGAGTCCGCCTGTTCAGGTTTAAGCTTTTCTGTTCTTTCATGGATCATTTAAGCAAATACAGATAAAATCTTACACTTTTCTTTATCTTAATTTCGTTCAACTTATTTTTATACCCCCATCCACGATTCCTTAAGGACATTAAAGAGGGCTATCCCCTGGCTTTGTACTAAATTATAGGTCAGAGAGCAGTCCGTTCATTAGCATTAGTAACTGCTACTGGTATTAGTAAATATGATACCCGGCACCTCCGCCAATTTTTTAAAAATACAGTGGATTTAATTTATTATAACCTTAGTTGTAGAAACCATTTTGCTATAACGACGTTAAATCTAGTCCCTTTAATTTAAAGCTTACTTTAATGCAAAATTTATGTGGCTATAGCAACTACGGATGTAACGCCGAGTTCGGGTGTAGCGACTCTTTTTAATTAATCATTTATAACAAATCCGTACTAAACCCATGCAAATACAGCGACCAGAGTCGGCCGCTAAAGACACAAAGACCTTTCTTATCTTTTGTTTACATCCATACAGATGGACAGAAAGTTTGGTGACCTTTATCATTTGTTTATAGATATTAGCCAGGTAGGTAGCTAAGCGTTTATGTTAAAATGGTTCAGTTACAAAGTGATATTCCGAGTAGCAACTGTGTTTAGTAAATTTTGACTATTATGACTCCTAGATGCATATTTACTGTTAAAAAAGACGGAAATCGTTTCAAAATTGAAAAATGGTGAAAATTACACATACGCTGTCTTTTTACCCTTAACTGTAACGATTTTCGTATATAACGAAATTACAGTGGTCCCTTCGTCATCGTTATATCCGAAATCCACTGCAACATTATTTTCTATTTCAAAGCGAGTCTTCTTTTAGATTTCATTTGTCAAATAGACACAATATAAATCTTCTGGTATACATAGATCCTTAGTGTCATTTGTTTGTTAATTTTCCTTAAAGTTCATCAAACCAAATAAATTTTACAAAAGGAAACGTCTGCGTCCAATGTTCGCTTTCGTACAATTTCTTCCTGACGATTACGCCAAAGGAAAAAGTAAAACATTTCACGCTGGTGGATGACAAGTAAAAGAAGAATGATTAGCGAAGAAGAGAAAGACATACAAGTAGTAATAAATGGACCTCGTCTAATAAAAACCAACAACCAGCAGCTACTTCTAATACTAGCCAGTAGCCTACTTCTTACTTCTGCCATTCGAAACGAAGCGACCCTGTACGTCAGACAACGCCGACGTTGTAAATGAGTCTTCAAATAAACGACCACCGCCGACGAGATTGAAATATTGTATTTTCCGGGCGAGTCAAGATGAAAACGCTATTCATCTGCAATGTCTATGCTGTATTACGGTCGACAAATTCTGTTAGCTAAATCGTATAAGACTGGATTTGTGTCTTCATTAATATCAAATTTTTTGAATCACGAAAAAAAGTTAAAAACACTTGACATAATTTTCGCTGACCGAGTGAATTATTACAAAATAGGGCGTAATGAAACAAAAAGATGGAACTGTATTTACAAACTTTGGAAACGGATTTAACTCCCTTATCATCATCATAAGGTCGTCAGTCCTAAGACTGGTTGGACACGCACCGCCACGTTTTCCTATCCTGACCTAATCTTCGCATTTCCCTAAAACTAGAACAATCCTTAACTATTTGCGAACAGTAATCTAACCTAGGACTACCTCTACCCCTCCTAACCCCTTTTCTGCCTTTAATATGTCTCTGTATAGACCTTCATGCCTGAGAAAGGGCCCTACCAGCCTATCTCGCCCGTTTCTCATAGACTTCCATGGAGTCCTTTGTTCTCCTATTTTTTCTAACACCTCTTCATTTCTAACCTTCTCTATCCACGGTATCCTCATCATTCGCCGGTAACACTACATTTCAAACGCTTCTAACCTTTTCTTTTCAGCAGTGCTCACCGTCCATGTTTCGCACCCGTACAGAGCCACGTTCCAAACATACACCTTTAACAATCTTTTTCGGATTTCTAAATTAACCGTTCGAAAGCATAGAAGTGACTTCTTTTTATAGAAGGCGATTCGACCCTGCGCTATCCTCTGCTTTATATCTCTACTACTTCTTCCGTCCTGACTTATCTAACTTCCTAGATACCTAAAATCAGCCAATTTTTCTAATTTTTCGTCTCCTATCTTTATATTCGCTCTTTCGCTACTTCTTCTTCCCTTTCATAACAGTATTTTTGTTTTATTTATTTTCATGCAGTACTGTTTTGTCAATACCGCTTCCATTTTATTTAAAATATCTCTAACTCAAACATTAATATGAAATTTCATTTTTAATTATTAATCCCACTACAAACTACCTCAAGTTAATGAGAGATGTAGTTAGATGCTAATACTGCTATAATTTAACTTCCAACGCTTAGATAAATATAATATGATTAAAAAATTAAAACAAAAATACCCTCTTATCTAAAATTTAATGAAATTACAAATAACAATTCTACCGATCTACCTTCCTTATTCCAATTGAAGGTTAATTAAATAATTGCAAATCTAAATAATTTACCAAATTATGCCTCTAGCTGTTATACATAACTTCAACGTGAATTAGAATCAGGTAGATTCTCATACAAAACCAGCCTATCCAGAAATAGAAACCGTTGGTAGAAGCAAACTTTACGTAACGTCCTAATTTGAAATATCACTTTCAATTCTACTTCATTGTCCGTCTGAAAGAGAATTGTCCTGAAATCATTACGTCACAGCTGGACACGTAACGGTGTTGACAATGATCGAATCTCCCTCAGCTACTTCCTGTTTAGCCATGATGTGTCAAAACACATTGAATACTTGTCCTACAGGAGGTCTTTAAACTGCAATCGCTAAGTCTTCATTCAATACCGTTCATAAGTATTTGTAGAAATGCTACTGAGCTGATTGTGAGTAAAAGCGTTAAAGAAAGTCCCATTTGTTCCCACATTCTTAAACTATTTATTATCGGCGAATGAAAAGGCGTTTTTGTGTTCAGTGTAGGCGCACTTTTCAAACTTCATGACACATGTAATTTATATATAAGATAGGTACCTACATTTTCAGAATCTATATATACATAATAACTATTCGAAAGTACTAATTTAATTTGGTGTTTTCGTAGGTCACAATTATGTACACCAATGTACATAATCGATAATCATACAACTTAGATGTTGATGTTTCACTTGTTTGCTACAAGGTGTATTTATTAAAAACCTTATTGGTCATTTATTAATTTTTCTTTACGATTAAATGATTTTTTGATTTCAAGATATTCTAATGTGTTCAAACCTTAACGCTTCCTATCTCAGTGCAGACAGTCAGAATCGATAAAATGATTACACAGGTCTGCTAAATTTGTTTTT